TACTACTGGGTAATACAGTCATCCCTACTGTGACTAGTACTACTGGGTAATACAGTCATCCCTACTGTGACTAGTACTACTGGGTAATACAGTCATCCCTACTGTGACTAGTACTACTGAGGTAATACAGTCATCCCTACTGTGACTAGTACTACTAGGTAATACAGTCATCCCTACTGTGACTAGTACTACTGAGGTAATACAGTCATCCCTACTGTGACTAGTACTACTGAGGTAATACAGTCATCCCTACTGTGACTAGTACTACTGGGTGATACAGTCATCCCTACTGTGACTAGTACTACTGAGGTAATACAGTCATCCCTACTGTGACTAGTACTACTGAGGTAATACAGTCATCCCTACTGTGACTAGTACTACTGAGGTAATACAGTCATCCCTACTGTGACTAGTACTACTGAGGTAATACAGTCATCCCTACTGTGACTAGTACTACTGGGTAATACAGTCATCCCTACTGTGACTAGTACTACTGGGTAATACAGTCATCCCTACTGTGACTAGTACTACTGAGGTAATACAGTCATCCCTACTGTGACTAGTACTACTAGGTAATACAGTCATCCCTACTGTGACTAGTACTACTGAGGTAATACAGTCATCCCTACTGTGACTAGTACTACTAGGTAATACAGTCATCCCTACTGTGACTAGTACTACTGGGTGATACAGTCATCCCTACTGTGACTAGTACTACTGGGTGATACAGTCATCCCTACTGTGACTAGTACTACTGGGTAATACAGTCATCCCTACTGTGACTAGTACTACTGGGTAATACAGTCATCCCTACTGTGACTAGTACTACTGGGTAATACAGTCATCCCTACTGTGACTAGTACTACTGGGTAATACAGTCATCCCTACTGTGACTAGTACTACTGGAGTAATACAGTCATCCCTACTGTGACTAGTACTACTGGGTAATACAGTCATCCCTACTGTGACTAGTACTACTGGGTAATACAGTCATCCCTACTGTGACTAGTACTACTGAGGTAATACAGTCATCCCTACTGTGACTAGTACTACTGAGGTAATAAAGTCATCCCTACTGTGACTAGTACTACTGAGGAAATACAGTCATCCCTACTGTGACTAGTACTACTGGAGTAATACAGTCATCCCTACTGTGACTAGTACTACTGAGGTAATACAGTCATCCCTACTGTGACTAGTACTACTGTGACTAGTACTACTGGGTGATACAGTCATCCCTACTGTGACTAGTACTACTGAGGTAATACAGTCATCCCTACTGTGACTAGTACTACTGGAGTAATACAGTCATCCCTACTGTGACTAGTACTACTGAGGTAATACAGTCATCTCTACTGTGACTAGTACTACTGAGGTAATACAGTCATCCCTACTGTGACTAGTACTACTGAGGTAATACAGTCATCTCTACTGTGACTAGTACTACTGAGGTCATCCCTACTGTGACTAGTACTACTGAGGTAATACAGTCATCCCTACTGTGACTAGTACTACTGAGGTAATACAGTCATCCCTACTGTGACTAGTACTACTGGAGTAATACAGTCATCCCTACTGTGACTAGTACTACTGAGGTAATACAGTCATCCCTACTGTGACTAGTACTACTGGAGTTATTTACATATTTTTGGATTGGAAACTTTGAAGGTCAAAGACCAATGTCACTTGATTTAAGTTTCAGCAATATTACTATAATTGCTTCTTTGTGAGCAAATCTTTGTGTTTGCATGGTTATTTAAAATATAGTTTTTCCTTATTAAATACAAACAGTATGGTTTTCATGTCTAAATGGATTGATGCTATTGATATGGACAATCTGAAACTTGAAGATTGGATTATCTTAGATTCTTTGTTACACAACATTACTCTCTCTAAGATTAATAGCTGCATTATAAGGAGCATTATATATGCTAATGCTATATATATACCAGTAGAGGAACTGAAGTAAAGTTGTATCAACAAATGAACGATATATATATGCCAGAAAGTGTTAAACATCAATTTGTGCCTCCTAGTAACTCATTAGAATATTAGGAGTACCTAAACTATGTTGTAACAAACATTTGGGAAGATTTCTCTTTGCAAGAACATCCAAAATGATGATGGCCATTAAAGAAGCATTTTGTTAATTTGTACATTATGTTGTGGATGAGGTGTAATTGGTTTGCCGAGATAATGGAGTGCTTTCCATTGAGATGTGCAGACTATTTCACAGCCATAGCGATAACAATTACATGACATCAAGAGTGTGTTTTCACCACCGATTTACATCCACCAGCATCACTGCCTCTCAGCTTTACATCAGAATTCTCGACTCTCGTTACAGTTGGCATTGTTCATCAATTATTTCAGGAATATTATATTACTGTTTGTCCATTAATTCAGTGTTGCTCTCCTGTAAGTGTTGTAAAGTTAATTAGAGATTGATAAGGTCCTCTAGGGAACAAACAGTACAATATCAACAGTACCAGATCAAAGTATGAAAAAATATACCAGTCCAAAACAACAGAACAAACAGGTGAACCATGACCTGGACAAACAGGTAAACCATGGCCTGGACAAACAGGTGAACCATGACCTGGACAAACAGGTAAAACATGACCTGGACAAACAGGTGAAACATGACCTGGACAAACAGGTAAACCATGGCCTGGACAAACAGGTAAACCATCGCCTGGACGAACAGGTAAACCATGACCTGGACGAACAGGTGAACCATGACCTGGACGAACAGGTAAAACATGACCTGGACGAACAGGTTAACCATGACGAACAGGTAAACCATGACCTGGACAAACCGGTGAACCATGACCTGGACGAACAGGTAAACCATGACCTGGACAGACTGGTAAACCATCACCTGGACGAACAGGTAAACCATCACCTGGACAAACAGGTAAAACATGACCTGGACGAACAGGTAAACCATGACCTGTACAGACAGGTAAAACATGACCTGGACAAACAGGTAAACCATGGCCTGGACAAACAGGTGAACCATGACCTGGACAAACAGGTAAAACATGACCTGGACAAACAGGTGAAACATGACCTGGACAAACAGGTAAACCATGGCCTGGACGAACAGGTAAACCATGACCTGGACAGACTGGTAAACCATGACCTGGACAGACAGGTAAAACATGACCTGGACAAACAGGTGAACCATGACCTGGACAAACAGGTAAAACATGACCTGGACAAACAGGTAAACCATGACCTGGACAGACAGGTAAAACATGACCTGGACAAACAGGTAAACCATGACCTGGAGAAACAGGTAAAACATGACCTGGACAAACTGGTAAAACATATACAGAGAGGAAAAAGAAACGCAATTAGGAATTTCCAGGTCAACTACGGGAAATAGAAAAGAGTTGTCGAATGTAATTATGGTGTAACTGGAAGATAGTTGACCACTCTGTCATCTACGAGAATTTCATTCATGAAGGTTAAGTTAACCTTTCAAATTTGATGTTGATTCAAGAGTACCCCACTCAAAATGAAGTCCAATCAATATCGTGCGAGCTGCAGTAACTGCACGAACTCTTTTGTGCATTGAATTGATCGGGGGATTAACCCTCCTCATTTGTATATGATTTCATTCCTCATCCAGCGCCAACGCCAACTGAGCGACGTTGATTGGAGGATTCAGCCTACGTCTTATCCTTCTGTCCAACTTGTCCCATAAATGTTCTATTGGGGAGAGGTCAGGGCTGTATGGGGGCCAGTCTAGGGTGGGGACATTGTTTGCTGTGAATAACCACGGCAAACCCTTGCTACATGCAGCCGGATGTTGTCCTGCTGAAACGTCAGTTGACGCTGCTGTACTAGAGGAACAACATGCAGTGCTAGGACTTGATCTCTATAGTGGACGGCCGTGAGATATCCCTGAATAACGACCAGAGGAGTCTTGATACCATGTGCAATCCCTCCCCATATCATGACCGATCCTCCTCCAAAGTGGTCATTCTCTATGACGCAAGCATCTGCATAGCGCTCGTGGGTACGTCTATAGACACGACGTCAACTGACTGCCCGGTAAAGGGAAAACCTGGACTCATCGGAGAACAGGACCTTTCTCCAGTGTTGCATTGGGAAGCATCTTACGGAATGTGCGTTCAGCCATTGTATTCGTCTGGTACAACGCAGCACATTAAGCTGTGGTCCAACATATGGCCGCCGCAGTCTTAGACCGAAGGCACGTAGTCGAGTACCCACTGTCTTTGGAGGATCAATTGGAACATGATGACACCCAATTGTGTTCCTTGCTGTTTCCGTGGCCATCAGAAAGCGATTGTGTAGGTCTGCAAACCTTCCGGTGGCATGTAGTCTTTGGATGAGACGGCAAATGTTCAATGGATGGACTCCAAATTTATTAGAGACCTGATTTTGCAGGATACCTTGCATAAGAAGTGCATTGGCACAGCCCATGTCAACTTCAGACAGTCGTGGCATTTTTTATGGGGAACTGTTTATGCTTAAAATGTGGGAAATCAAGACGGATATGTCTGAAGATTCGCACACACAGATTTTGAACCAATCCTTTATACTGGGTTCGAGATATGGTGCTTTTGTCTCTTATTCTTTTGTACAAGCGGCGTGCGCAGTTTAGCTATGCATCAGCGATTTTAATACGGTACCATAGGGACCTAACTCAAATGCACACATTTGTCAAGTTTCAAGGGTGTATGTCAAGGATTTAATTTACAATATTAACTTTCTGCTAATTGCGTTTCTTTTTCCTCTCAGTATAAAATAAACAGGTAAATTAGCCAACTTACCAATAGCTATTACAACACTGTTGTTAACTAATATCATATCTAAACACTGAAATTAAAATACCATTATTATTAATTGTGCTAATGTCAATCCTTCACAACAGTTTTTATGCCGTGACAGGTAACAAGTTCTTTGATAACTTACTACTAATATGGTTGTTGTATAGATATTTCATATTTTTGTTTGATTTATTGTAGAAAAGTCAGGCTGAGAGTGGTGATGCTTTTAAATCCCGACCAAAACCAAGGGCCATTAACAAGCTATTGCAGAAATATCCACAACCGCCAGTCACTATTAAGCTAAGTAAGTAATTTTATACATAGATATTCCCTTACAACCAACCACTGTCAAGCTAAGTAGGTCAGTTTATATATAAATATTCCCTTAAACCAACCTCTGTCAAGCTAAGTAGGTCAGTTTATATATAAATATTCCCTTACAACCAACCTCTGTCAAGCTAAGTAGGTCAGTTTATATATAAATATTCCCTTAAACCAACCTCTGTCAAGCTAAGTAGGTCAGTTTATATATAAATATTCCCTTACAACCAACATCTGTCAAGCTAAGTAGGTCAGTTTATATATAAATATTCCCTTACAACCAACCACTGTGAAGCTGAGTAGGTCAGTTTATATATAAATATTCCCTTACAGCCAACATCTGTCAAGCTAAGTAGGTCAGTTTATATATAAATATTCCCATACAACCAACCTCTGTCAAGCTAAGTAGGTCAGTTTATATACAAATATTCCCTTACAGCCAACATCTGTCAAGCTAAGTAGGTCAGTTTATATACAAATATTCCCTTACAGCCAACATCTGTCAAGCTAAGTAGGTCAGTTTATATATAAATATTCCCTTACAACCAACCTCTGTCAAGCTAAGTAGGTCAGTTTATATATAAATATTCCCTTAAACCAACCTCTGTCAAGCTAAGTAGGTCAGTTTATATATAAATATTCCCTTACAGCCAACATCTGTCAAGCTAAGTAGGTCAGTTTATATATAAATATTCCCTTACAGCCAACATCTGTCAAGCTAAGTAGGTCAGTTTATATATAAATATTCCCTTACAGCCAACATCTGTCAAGCTAAGTAGGTCAGTTTATACATAAATATTCCCTTACAGCCAACATCTGTCAAGCTGGTATTTATATAATAGGAATGGATTTTTAGAGAGTTGTGTCCCTTTATGCTGACAAAATATTTCTATATTTTTATACTTAGTGTTCAAAATGTACGTTTAGGGTTTGTGTAAGATTGTATTTTATGTGTCAAGAGTGTGTTGCATATGTAGTTTGAGAGTATTTGTGTATTTTAGAAATCTTGTAAGTAATAGTATTTGGGTTGTATGTGTTATGAAAATGAGTTTACACTAATTTATATTTTTCCATCAGTGTTTTGAATGTGTGATGGTATATATTTGAAAATGTATAGACAACTGGGGAGAAGCTGAGGGAATTGGGAGACAGAAGCCATTGCCTGGTATTTGCCCATGTTGTATCTTGGTACTACCTAGGTATTTTGTGGTTTTGATTGATCTTGGTTGATCTTACTTTGTGTTGCTAGATGATGTTTAGAGTAAATAAAGGGAAGGAGTTGTGTGTCTCAGGGTTGTGTGTCTCAGGGTTGTGTATGTCTGTTTTTTTAATGCATAGATGCTTAAAAGAATAATTAGCACCTAGGTTTATAGACACAACAAAATGAACTGTTACACTTAAGACCCTTATTAATAACAGTATATCATCTTCTGAATATCGGTACAACTCATGCTTTCCATGATGGGCCCATATCTTGACATTGTTGATGGAAGGAGTCAGGTTACTGTCCAGTTATGGAAATAACATTCACAACAGGCAAACCTTCATAGCTTGGTGGAAAGCTCTCCCTGTTGGGTTGTTGTAGGATAAGATCGAGGTACAGATTGTGACTGATGTAGAAGGTCTATCTTGTCCTTTTCAGGTTTGATTTCCAACTCCCCTGGGTATCTAGTGGACATTGCCATTAAATTTCTTGAAGACAAACTGTCACCAACTTACTTAGAAGTAAAACTCAAGGACTTTAGTATGTTTTGATCAGCCTTTCATAAGTTCAGTTACGTTTGACAACAAAAATGAGTCAGTCTATAAGGGGAATAGTATTTTCCCATCAGGTATATCAGTAGTCTTCTGTAAGAGCTGACCAAACTTCACGAAGATATTGTCAACCATATTGTCTTACACTTTAATCTTCTATATATATCTTCTTGGTTTATGATGTAGGTTTTCCAACCATATACCTGTACTGCTGTCCAACTTTCCTTTCTGAAACTATTTCTCAGTGGCAAACACAGAAAGTTGTCCATGCTCTTTGCTGTCATATCTCCAAGTTATTAAAAAAATTGGTATTCTCCATGGAATATTGACTTATAAAAATTTTCTCTTTTCATTTTCAGAATATTGACCAATAGAGTTTTGCTGGTGATTGATTTTTGCCGCCTATGATGTTTTTGTGACTTGACCATTAAATGGTAGTAGGTGATGTGTGTACACACTCTGCGGTGGATTAAAATCTTCGTACAACGATGTCATTCTGGCTCTCTTTGACCATAGGATTTCACAGAGTTCACGAAATGAAATTCACAGAGAAAATTATCAATGCTTATTCATGCCAAGTGGTGGTAGAAACTAAGACCTACATAGAACATACTCTATAGGGTTACTGTCTTGTACATGCCTCTGTCTGACTTGGTAAATAAGAAGTGTTTTGATAACATAGTCACATTTCTACTGTATACTGTTTTGAATGAAATCATGAACTGGAAATGAAATAAAGTCAGATATCTATATATATATATATCTATATATTATATATATATATTGGTCTGTTGGAATTACTATCTTCGGACTTTAAATAGTTCTGAATGATACAATGCTAATGAGTTCCAAGAATGATCCGATAATTAAGCTTGTCACTGGTTAGAGGAATCTGTATGCAATCCCCTTATGGGAAACACAATTTTGAAATTGCTTCCCTCATTGACAAATGTTGTAGTACAGTCTTCCCGGTCTCTAAATGTCCTTTGGGCTAATGGAAGGCTCTCTAGGATTCGGGATGCAGCAAAATAATTCTATAGGGATCCTCTTGGTAGGGCAGTTCTTTGGTGTTTTGTCAGTCCACTAAGGAAGGTTCACATTGAGTCAATCTGTACAACCTTTTGTACCAGTACAAGAGTTTTGTCGTTGGATGAAGGATTGTAATTAATTAGCTTGTAACCGTTCCAGACTTTTAATTGGCTACATTTTTATTACGATATTTTGACATTATTCAGTACTTTGTCTGTGAAAAACACAATTATAGGACACACTAAAATTGTATTTGGCAACAATGACAACTTTTCTTCTTCACTGGATCTTTAGCACATATCAAACATTTGGCCAATAGTTCCCATGTCAACTAGAACTTGCTGTGTTTTACCTCCTGAAATACACACAGTAAACACTTTATATGAGAATGAACAAAGGATGCAAAGTGATACAGTATATACTTACCAATGAATGGAGTTACACCTCAGAAGTGTTTTCTCATTTTAAGATGTTAAGGAGATGTTGACTTCCAAAAGGGAACCTAGACACCGAATCAGCCCGAACAAATTACTTACCTTTGATTAACTTTGTATTATGGTCGATTTTAATAGAAATAAAAGATCTAGAACGTTTGTTTGGAAGCTGTGCCACAATTCATAATAATTTAGTCGAAATATATATTGTTTCGGTGTAACGACATCATTACCAATCTGATTCTGACGCAACTGATCTACCGCCTGTGTGTTCTCAAAAAGGGCGACTTAACCATCATCAAACTCAATGAGACAGATAAAAAGTGAAAAACAGTATCAGTGGTTCGGAGTTCGTCTCCACCTTCATTTGAATGAAACAACCAGGAATAAATTGATCAATCCGTTTATTGGAATTGGGGAAATACATCGCCAATTCAATACGTTTGCGGTATGTCAATGCGTTACGATATTCTCTTCGAAGGTTTTAGGAAGCTGTTTAGTGACAGAATTTTTCTTTTTAAGGAGAACCTGTCAACTTCAATGTAGCCGTACTAGTATTCCACATTTGGTAACGTGCCAATAGTGTTTTGCCGTGCACCTATTCACAAAAAGCTTTGTCATGATGATGCCGACAATAATATTTTAGGAATACAGTCAATCATCGATTATGAAGTATTGGACCTGTAGGTGCAAATGAGGAATTAGGTTACTGTTGTGTGATATGTTAAAGTGTTTACACAATGTGGTACGGGGTCGTAGGTCACTAGATAATATTGCTTAAGTAGTATATACCACTGATTTAGTTTGTAATCGATTTGTGATCGAAATATGTGTTATAATGTTATCCATTAACGCCTGACAAAAAATAGACAACAACACAAAGAATATTACCAGTTTACTGCTCTTTCGGTGGTTAACTATCACGATAATTTTTTAAGTGTTGAAAGCAGGGGATCGTGGCCTTGTTGAAAGGTTGCCGCCAACTTACATAGTTATGTAAATTTTCCGCCAGCGCGACAAAACGTGATCATTATGTGTTGATATTGATCTTTCAACATGCGGTGTCAGTAATAGGTCGCTGAGTAATTTATGGTGGGACACTTAGGTATTTGAAGTATGAGGTCTGTGATAAGATTTCTTGGTCCTTTTCTTCAGTATCAAATACGTTCAACTTGCGTCCGCCTGTATTTCGGTTATTGCTAGGTTTGAGTATTGTCTCTTCCTTGGCATATGTTGTGATCTTTGTGAGGTTGATGGTGATATTATTTGGCCAAAGGTGAAGAAACTAGAGACAGGCTATGCCTACAAGACGTCCCAGGTCTTTCGTGTGTATAGGTGATCGTCGCTGAGGAAAGATCACTATCTCTGTCATAATGACAGAATAATCGGACGCACTTTGTAATAAGCAGTGCTATTCCGGTGACGGTCACAATGTCGCATCTGATGACAATCTGGTAAGGAAATCATTATCGGTACGATTTAATTGAAATGACGCCTGACGAGTACGTGGTAGATGTTCCAGCGTCACGAGTCAGCGACCTCGCAGAATATGACATAACTCGAACGGATGTTATCGGGGCGGAGCGTTATCACTGCCACGCCCCTCTCGTAGACATTACAAGATCGTGGACGATTGTTTATCCAGAATTAAATTGTTTTGAACAGGAACTAGAAGACGATGTTATCTTTGTATTCGATTTGCTAAATTAGGAGTTATTTGGACCAAATGTGTTAATGGGACAGTATCTAATCTCTTTAGTTTGAAATAGAAGACATTCATGCATAATTTACGTTTCGGATGTCTAAACATATCAACAAGCGACCGAACGGCAGGAATTAGACCGAAATCTGTTTTTAAATCGACAAGTAACAGTAGTAATTGCCAGTTGTATTACTATACGTGATTGACGTTATATTTTGATCAATTTAAAAACAGTTATTTTGACGAACTAGGCCGAGATACTCGGTCCTTAATATGATTACGCTTGTTTGCATCAAAATGTGAAATTGCATAATTTATGACTGGTTTGTTTTATTAAATTGTCCAAGTCTGTTCTTTTGGATACTTTTATAACGGATCTGCAATACGTTCCCTCGATAGAATGAACGGATCACGTTTCGTGTTGATTTGCCTAGTGTGATAAATGTTGGCCTAATTGGACCTATGAAGGAAGTGATTACTGTGTTGTTGGAGCTCGCATTTCACCCTCATGTTACGGCCCATTGAACATGTTGTGTGTAGCGAGCAACAAGCAGACTGTCGGGTAGCTGGGGACGTGTTTACTCACTAAGATCCTCAAGTCACGCAAAGTCTAGTCAAGTTCTTATGTTTAGGGGACTGCGTGTCGCAATGATAGCATCTTCTAGAGCCCTGAACCCCGAACAGAGAAATGTCCATTCACCACTTAGACGGGCCATCGGTAAATCATCACACAGGCCAGGCTTTAATAAACACAACAGCTAAGTAAGATGAATGCCTTTCAAAAATACAACAGAAAATAGAAAGTAGTGGTTTCTTTCTTATTTCGAAAAAATAGTTGTCATCCGATGAGAAATAGATTAATGTACTCTATTTTCCGGTACCAGTTACCCCACTATAAATCAGACCTGGACAGGAGACAACAACAGTCTCGATTTCAAGCTACAAGACCTTTGTAACAATAAAAGTAATGATAATGTCTTCGTCCTTAGCACGTTTGTGTAACGGACAAAGAGACAAGTCGGCAATATATTAACATTTCACGAAATAATGGGATAACCTTAATGTCAGCCGGACAATTTGTCCCTTGACATTATCTTATACTTTTGCACAGAACAGCGGTATTAGAAGTTTTCCATGATACCGTTCTTTGTCTATAGGGTAATATTGATTCAGTTAAGGTTATATGTATTTAATTAAACATCACCATGAGCACCACATCGCATTTCTCCTTTTGTAATCATATATAGTAGTAAACATCGCAAGTTTCTGTAATAACGCTAATTTATGAGGTACGACAAATTTGTACGGTTAAACCAGCGGAATGTGTAGATTTTCCAAGATAAACAGTTATTTTCATCAGACAAATGACCATCAGGCTAATTTTCGCGAAAGTTTGAAAAGTTGTCGATTGAGTCACATTTCAGGAAAATACGCATTAATGTGTAAACATTTGACTTCATCATATCCATGGAACAGTCGTGCAAAGAACTGCGGTCTGATCGACTAAGGTTTCCTATGTCATGGATTTGAAATCAGTTATCATCAGCTAGCGGTATCTAAGGAGAGAACCACACTTTGAGAAATCAATTCAGCTTTACACAGTTGTATTGCGATTATAAGAGCGATGAACGGAAATGCACGAGTCGTTATGGTTACTGCCGGTTGCGAGGGCGAAGTAGTGGTCAAACCTTATAAAGGCGTCTCGTATCATGACTGAATGGTACTGACAGGATCATGACTGGACATCTTGTTTCATGTCGAAAACTTCGACCTGTCGGACTGATATCAAAGGCATGAAATCACTGTTTTGTAACCGGAATTATACAGAGTAATCAGGAACAGATTCATGCTATTTATACTGAGAAATGAATACACCTGTCGGCTTGGACATATGCAAGACATGTCAAGATCGTTATTCACTATCAGAAAGACGCTTCATCATAATCGTTTGAGTGCGTCCGGATGTTCTACGCAATTTTTAGCAGTTTTAGCAAAAAAATGTAGAACTTCATTCATTATTGAGTTAATACAAGTCACAGGTTAATGGGACCAGGCCAAAGTCATTTGTAAGGAGCACCGCACCTAATCGCTCCGCACCGCACCTAACCGCACCGCACCACCAAGATAGACTTAAGTAGAGTAGTAAGTGCATATAAAATAAGATTTAACATAACAGGACGTCATTGTGTAAATTGTGGTGGATTACAATGAAATAAAATCTACAATAACAAAAAACAGCAAGAAAATACTAACACGTAAATATAATCATAATCCAAACTCAAATTCTGTAAAACTAGGACAAAATATGAACGAAAGAAAGTCTCCTGAAACAGCACAAGACCATTGTTTCGGAAGAATAAATCTTCTGCTTCAATGACGACAACCGACATGTAAACCTTGGTCATTCCACGTAAGTACATTGTAATGTCACATTCCCAAACAAGAACAAAGTATACAACAACGTAACCAACAGGCAAACTAATGAGAATAAAACACGTCCAGCTTCATATCGCACATTCAAATAGATTATTCTAAATAAGATCACTATGGCGGACGTAAAACTTCCCCATCATTTTCATCAACTTGCATCTTTTC